CCACCCGCGTGCGAAAAGACACCGCCGCTAACTGGCGGCTGCATCATGACAATGTGCCCAGCCACACGTCTCTGCTCATCCGTGAGTTCCTGGCGAAGCACCACGTGGCAACACTGCCGCAGCCACCCTACATCCCCGACCTAGCTTCTGCTGACTTCTTTTTGTTCCCGAGGATCAAGACTGCACTCAAAGGACGCCGTTTTGAAAGCATTCAGGCTAGCCAAGCGACCGTGACAACAGCTGTAAATGAGGTTCCCGTCGAGGCCTTTGAAGGGGCTACCGGGCATGGGAGAGTCGGTGGAAAAAATGTGTAGATGCTCATGGACAGTACTTTGAAGAATATTAACATTTCATACCGATATCATCAATACATTAAAAATATATATATATATATATATTATGACTTTTGGGACACCTTGTATATTTTCACATTTGCTTGACCTTGGCACTAGTTGGAGGTGAGTGGTCAACTTCATGCCCCTGCCACTTTACCCCTGGGGAGAGAGCCCCCGGTACCCATTCGATAGGAGGCCCGGTGGGTGTCACAGCTGGTCTGGACAACACCTATTATTAACTGTTGGAGTTCTGGGATTTCTGTAATCATGCTCTGTCCCATCATCTGAACTCTGCAGAGTGATTGCTTCTCTTTTCCTGCTTTCATTTTTGTATCTTCCCTCATGCAGTTTGTGGGTGCCTCAGTGACCTTTTATTCAACAGTTTCATTTTTGATCCTGTTGTAGGAGTCTTTTGTTGTCCAGACATAACACATGTCTGTATCACTGTTTTATTAATTTCACCAACTTTTCCTTTAGTTTATTTTCTTTCTATTCTTCTCGGATGTCATAGTTCTGGAGTCTTCTTTCTTTTCATGTTAAAGATGCTGTTATACATGTCAAAATATGCAAGTGATATGTTCTCCACCATTCTAATGAATACTGCCTAATCTATAACACTGTTTGTTTCCAGATAATATGCCAGTAACATGGTGTTATCCTTTAGAAGACAACCATCAGTATTGTAGTACAGGCTTCCCAATGGGATGTTATGTCAGGGAGAATGGAGGATCTCAAGACTGTGTTATTAGTGTAGGTACAAATTGTGTGTGTGTGAGCATATGGAAAGATGTTCTGCATGAATCTGATTTACACTACTTTTTGCAGTCGAAATCTTGTGTGTAGTTGTATCCTATATATTATCACGTATTGGGCATATATCGCGACAAATAACTTCACGCCGTATTTTATATAGCGAATTTTATTTCACATTCGCACTTACAATCACACAATTGACAGTTTTAGAACCACTGCTATCTGCAGTATCACAAATACTACACTCCAAATGCCACAATACAACTGACTGATTGCTGGCTAACTCGGAACTAACTCGGAGGTAGCTCGAGGACTAACTGTGAATAGCCTTCGCTGCTCCTCATGTAGCCTCGATCGGACAATACAGAAAACGGCCACGTAATAAGCACCCTTGTTGCCTGGCGCTGTGTTGCTAGCAACGCTAGTGGTAGTAACCTCTGTTACTACCGTTGTCTCTCGCAATCCTGTTTCCCCGCGCTGCCTAGCAACCCGCGGTACCGTTGGTGACGTCATCGCTGTTGACTCGCTTTGCATAGCGACCAGGATGCTAGGACTCGGCTAACTTCGGCTCACTTCGGCTTCACTCGGTGCATCACGGCTGGCGGGGGTGGGGGAGGGGCGTCATCCATAGCTCAACATGTCACAATATAAAATATTTTCCAACGTTCTATTTAACAGACTCTCTCCCTTTGTGGAAGGCATAATTGTTGATTACCAATGTGGGTTTCATCAAGGAAGATCAACTAATGATCAGATTTTCACTATTCGACAGGTCCTTGAAAAGTGTAATGAATTCCAAATTGAAACACATCATCTTTTCATTGACTTCCGATCAGCCTATGACTTCATAGATAGAGATAGTCTTTTTCTGGCAGTGGAAGAGATGCACATTCCACGGAAGTTAATCGCCTTAGTCAGAGCCGCTATGAGAAAGACCCAATGCCAAATTAAGATTCAGAATATGTTGTCCAGCCCTATAATAACTAGAAATGGAGTTC